GATTGTGGGCTGTAAGGGACAGGTGGGGTGAATGACTTGTTGATAGAAGTTCCAGTCCACCTGTAGACAGGGATCTCACATCAGCTTGTATTTTATACAAGGATAAGATTTGATAAATTCAGTTATCTGACTGAACACTGGCTCTGTTTAAATCAGGGATTTAAACATACATAGTCTAACCTAGTACCATAACTTAACAGCCAATAGATTCTTATACTATAAACAACAAATTAAATTGTAAAAGTATAATAACTGACCTTAAATGTAGTCTTAATACTATTAACTTAGTACTAGAAATTATATTCAATTAAATGAACTTATATGATAACTTATAAATAACTAAGCAAGCTATTGATAACTTAATTTATATATTCAAATATATATGCAGACATATTCACTTTATACAGTTAGCTTGACTGAATCTTTTCCAACTATGGACACTTGTGAGGTTTTTACTTATTGAGGCTGAATACTTTTCTGACAGAATGGACACTCATGAGGTTCAGTGCTTGGATAAGATTCACAGCTACACTACAATTTTAATAAACTTACTGAAATGTGAGGCTTAGCCTCGCTTTTTAACCAACAGACAGATTTATAGGATATTAAAGCTACACAAGCATACAATTGGCCAATCATACACCAAATAACCCTCAATATACTTCTCTGCCAGTCGGGGTGCCTGTCTGACAAGTTTGCCAGACTGATTAACTCTCTCTTGTTGAGTTTAGGCACGATATTTTGCTACAGCGTTGCTGTATGATGATCTGGTAGCGTTGCTACGTGATTATCCTGCAGTTGCAGAAGAATGATTCGAGATAAAAGTTTATGAATGAAGGTGGAGGAAACCGTGTCACTGATCTCCACTATACACTCTATTTTATGAATGTTCTAGGATTTTCCTTGTAGATATTGTCCAGGTACTCCCCCAGTTCTAGAGAGTATTCACTGGCGATAAAAATGTTAGATAAGGTGTCCTTGAGCTGGTAATGTTCGCTAAGGATCAGTCACTTGTTCACTCATTTGTAAACAAACGCGGAGTGCCGCTGGGCTTTGTTGGTGGGCGCTTCACTCCCCCCATCGCCCTGCCATGCTCTCTGAGCACGGTAGCCTTCTATGAATATTGATCGATTATTTTTACAGTCTAGACTTATGATTAAGATAAGATGTGATTATAATATAATTAGATATAAGATTTAAAGATTATAAGTAGTATTTGAAAGTACCACTGATTCTTATTAAGGATTCGATTTTTAATCCTACCGGATGTTGAATCAATGTTCCAATAGTTTTTTAATTAAGAAGTCCTTCTAGAAGCTTCTGGATCCTTGAGAAATCATGTACAAAGTCACGTAGGCATCAAAAGGGCCCCTGTTGCGTACGTGTTCATGGTGCCATTGTCATCCAGGATCAAGCTATATAATGAATTTTTCATGATTCTAATATGATTTTGATACGATTTAGATATGATTTTGATATGATTTAGATATGATTTGATATGATTTAGATATGATATAGAAATTATACATTTCTTAGATGATTATTAGATATGGTGGGTAAAAATTTCCCACAGCCTCATACTTTTATTGTATTGTTTTTCTTTCATTCCCTGGCAGGGGGAGTCCTGTAGCGAGTAAGCTTATACTCGCTCCAGTCTCTCAAATATCTTAATGACAAAGTAATTAGCACTAATTATGACTACTCAAATTCTTTCCCTAATTACAGGTAACATTCTACCATCCTGTTGGAGGAAGCTGAAGTGTAGTCACCAAATATAAGCAAGCGATATGTGAATAGCCAACAGTACAATTTCCACAGTGATTCAGTGAACTACAATAGAGACTTCGGAGTAACCACACCTCTTCAACCTCAAGAATGTAGCACTCGGCGTATGCAATTATAATCGAGCCCAAGACACTACAGCTTCGATACAGAGCAGACAGCAGACTAGGACCGCATTGAGCTACAACGCTCTTGCTCCACAACGCTCTTGCTCCCATCGAGTTTAGACACTCACGATTCCCTATCGAGCCGCCACGCTCTCCCGCATAGAGCTCCATGATTCCAGCTTCACTCAGCTCTCTGCTCTGCTCCAAGCTCTGTCTCAACGTCTACGACACTGCAAACAACTGACTACTGTAATCAAGACTACTAAATAAATATGAAACCCACTAAACACTTGATCTAATGTATCCAACAATGTAACATAATCGTACGTTACAATGCTGAGAGCCGAATATTGCTCAGCTTAATGCTGAGAGGGGATTAAGGGCATAATATCACCCAGCAGAGTTTGGGAAGGCGGCCAACAGAGGGCAGCAGAGCGGCTCTGTAGTAAGAGTAGCACCCGGCAGATGGCCTTAGCGCCGCCACATATAAGGACGAGCGCGCGCGGTTATCGCTCAGTTGCTTCAAGTCGAGGAGGTGCCTCACGCTACGAAGATAAGAACGGGCTGTGAACGAGGACACCAGATTCCTCGCACCTCTATCGTAAGTTTATTTTGTTATTATACAAGTGGTCACAGGACCAGATGACTTCCTAATCGTGCTATTAAATTCCGATATCTTTCCCTACACATAGCTCATGGTAAGTAAGCCTTACCCTGCTATAGTTTTCCCTGAAACACGACCCACCCATCGGCTTACAACCAGGTTCCCAACTGTGCTGAGGGGGGGGGGGGTGCTAGTGCTCTTGGTTTATCAAAGAGCTAGACGAGTACAATGTGGGAGTTGGTGGAGCTGTTTTCTGCTATGAAGACCTCACAATTATTGCTGCAGAAAGATCTTAAGGCGGATGACGTAGTTGCGAAATGAAATTGTATTGTCACATTAGTTGAGGGTCTTAAGAAGACTGTGTACTTAGGTCTTAGTACTTAAAAGATCCCATTTTTTAAAGCTTTCTTTAAGGCTTTCTTTAAGGCTTTGTCAAGCATTACGAGGAATATAGAGTGCAGGTACTTACCTAGTTGTGCTTGCGCGGGTTGAGCTTTGGCCCTTTGGTCCCGCCTCTCAACTGTCAATCAACTGGTGTACAGATTCCTGAGCCTTCTGGGCTCTATCATATCTACATTTGAAACTGTGTATGGAGTCAGCCTCCACCACATCACTGCCTAATGCATTCCATTTGTTAACTACTATGACAGAAACAATTCTTTCTAATGTCTCTGTGGCTCATCTGGGTACTAAGTTTCCACCTGTGCCCCCTTGTTTGTGTTCCACTAGTGGTTATCATGTCACCCTTACTCTTCTGTCTTCCAAGGACGTGTGGTTTAGCTCCCTCAGCCTTTCCTCGTAGCTCATACCTCTCAGTTCTGGGACCAGTCTGATAGCATACCTCTTAATCTTGTTGTTTTGTGTTTGTCAATAAGAGCAGGGGTCATACGCGTGACATACAGCTGAAAATAAATCAATCTCAATCTCATTTTCTCTGTAAATGTTGAATACATTACTCATCGTTTACTTATCTTTCAATACATATATTACTGGGCCCCAGAGGAATCCTCCAGAAGGTTCCTTACCTTTTTTACGTCAACTTTTTATTTCTCAAATTTCACCCCAAAATCCATAAAAACATTGTACTTGAAAGGTAAAATATCCACAACCTTTGACATCTCAATATTATTTTTCTCTTTCTTAAACCTCTTTATTGCTTGATGATATTAAGCCCTGGGGCTCCGTCTGGGGCACCCTGGGGCTCCGTCTGGGGCACCCTGGGGCTCCGTCTGGGGCACCCTGGGGCTCCATCTGGGGCACCCTGGGGCTCCCTGGGGCTCCGTCTGGGGCACCCTGGGGCACCCTGGGGCTCCATCTGGGGCACCCTGGGGCTCCGTCTGGGGCACCCTGGGGCACCCTGGGGCTCCATCTGGGGCACCCTGGGGCTCCGTCTGGGGCACCCTGGGGCTCCGTCTGGGGCACCCTGGGGCTCCCTGGGGCTCCATCTGGGGCACCCTGGGGCTCCGTCTGGGGCACCCTGGGGCACCCTGGGGCTCCATCTGGGGCACCCTGGGGCTCCGTCTGGGGCACCCTGGGGCTCCGTCTGGGGCACCCTGGGGCTCCGTCTGGGGCACCCTGGGGCTCCGTCTGGGGCACCCTGGGGCCCCGTCTGGGGCACCCTGGAGCTCCGTCTGGGGCACCCTGGGGCTCCGTCTGGGGCACCCTGGAGCTCCATCTGGGGCACCCTGGGGCTCCGTCTGGGGCACCCTGGGGCCCCGTCTGGGGCACCCTGGAGCCCCGTCTGGGGCACCCTGGGGCTCCGTCTGGGGCACCCTGGGGCTCCGTCTGGGGCACCCTGGGGCTCCGTCTGGGGCACCCTGGGGCTCCGTCTGGGGCACCCTGGGGCTCCGTCTGGGGCACCCTGGGGCTCCGTCTGGGGCACCCTGGAGCTCCATCTGGGGCACCCTGGGGCCCCGTCTGGGGCACCCTGGGGCTCCGTCTGGGGCACCCTGGGGCTCCGTCTGGGGCACCCTGGGGCTCCGTCTGGGGCACCCTGGGGCTCCATCTGGGGCACCCTGGGGCTCCGTCTGGGGCACCCTGGGGCTCCATCTGGGGCTCCGTCTGGGGCACCCTGGGGCTCCATCTGGGGCACCCTGGGGCTCCATCTGGGGCACCCTGGGGCTCCATCTGGGGCACCCTGGAGCTCCGTCTGGAGCACCCTGGAGCACCCTGGAGCTCTATCTGCAGCACCCTGGAGCTCTATCTGCAGCACCCTGGAGCTCTATCTGCAGCACCCTGGAGCTCTATCTGCAGCACCCTGGAGCTCCGTCTGGAGCACCCTGGAGCTCCGTCTGGAGCACCCTGGAGCTCCATCTTGGGCACCCTGGAGCTCCATCTGGGGCACCCTGGAGCTCCGTCTGGAGCACCCTGGAGCTCCGTCTGGAGCACCCTGGAGCTCTATCTGCAGCACCCTGGAGCTCTATCTGCAGCACCCTGGAGCTCCGTCTGGGGCACCCTGGAGCTCCGTCTGGAGCACCCTGGAGCTCCGTCTGGAGCACCCTGGAGCTCTATCTGCAGCACCCTGGAGCTCTATCTGCAGCACCCTGGAGCTCCGTCTGGGGCACCCTGGAGCTCCGTCTGGAGCACCCTGGAGCTCCGTCTGGAGCACCCTGGAGCTCCATCTTGGGCACCCTGGAGCTCCATCTGGGGCACCCTGGAGCTCCATCTGGGGCACCCTGGAGCTCCGTCTGGAGCACCCTGGAGCTCCGTCTGGAGCACCCTGGAGCTCCATCTTGGGCACCCTGGAGCTCCGTCTGGAGCACCCTGGAGCTCCATCTGGGGCACCCTGGACCTCCGTCTGGGGCACCCTGGACCTCCGTCTGGAGCACCCTGGAGCTCCGTCTGGGGCACCCTGGGGCACCCTGGAACTCCGTCTGGGGCACCCGGAGCTCCGTCAGGGGCACCCTGGAGCTCCGTCTGGGGCACCCGGAGCTCCGTCTGGGGCACCCTGGACCTCCGTCTGGGGCACCCTGGACCTCCGTCTGGGGCACCCTGGAGCTCCGTCTGGGGCACCCGGAGCTCCGTCTGGGGCACCCTGGAGCTCCGTCTGGGGCACCCTGGAGCTCCATCTGGGGCACCCTGGACCTCCGTCTGGGGCACCCTGGAGCTCCGTCTGGGGCACCCTGGAGCTCCGTCTGGGGCACCCTGGAGCTCCGTCTGGGGCACCCTGGAGCTCCGTCTGGGGCACCCTGGAGCTCCATCTGGGGCACCCTGGACCTCCGTCTGGGGCACCCTGGACCTCCGTCTGGGGCACCCTGGAGCTCCGTCTGGGGCACCCTGGAGCTCCGTCTGGGGCACCCTGGAGCTCCGTCTGGGGCACCCTGGAGCTCCGTCTGGGGCACCCTGGAACTCCGTCTGGGGCACCCGGAGCTCCGTCAGGGGCACCCTGGAGCTCCGTCTGGGGCACCCGGAGCTCCGTCTGGGGCACCCTGGACCTTCGTCTGGGGCACCCTGGAGCTCCGTCTGGGGCACCCTGGAGCTCCGTCTGGGGCACCCTGGAGCTCCGTCTGGGGCACCCTGGAGCTCCGTCTGGGGCACCCTGGAGCTCCGTCTGGGGCACCCTGGAGCTCCGTCTGGGGCACCCGGAGCTCCGTCTGGGGCACCCGGAGCTCCGTCTGGGGCACCCTGGAGCTCCGTCTGGGGCACCCGGAGCTCCGTCTGGGGCACCCTGGACCTCCGTCTGGGGCACCCTGGAGCACCCTGGACCTCCGTCTGGGGCACCCTGGAGCTCCGTCTGGGGCACCCGGAGCTCCGTCTGGGGCACCCTGGACCTTCGTCTGGGGCACCCTGGACCTTCGTCTGGGGCACCCTGGACCTTCGTCTAGGGCACCCTGGACCTTCGTCTGGGGCACCCTGGACCTTCGTCTGGGGCACCCTGGACCTTCGTCTGGGGCACCCTGGACCTTCGTCTGGGGCACCCTGGACCTTCGTCTGGGGCACCCTGGACCTTCGTCTGGGGCACTGTGGAACTCATGTCCGTTTGGGGCAGCTAACCATCTCTGGGGCACCCTGGAGCTCCGTCTGGGGCAGCCAACCATCTCTGGGGCACCCTGGAGCTCCGTCTGGGGCAGCCAACCATCTCTGGGGCACCCTGGAGCTCCGTCTGGGGCAGCTAACCATCTCTGGGGCTCCCTGGAGCTCCGTTTGGGGAACCCAACCATCTCTGGGGCACCTTGGAGCTCCGTCTGGGGCAGCCAGCCATCTCTGGAGCACCCTGGAGCTCCGTTTGGGAAGCCAACCATCTCTGGGGCACCCTGGAGCTCCATCTGGGGCAGTCTGGAGCTATGTCTGGGGCACCCTGGAGCTCCATCTGGGGCACCCTGGAGCTCCGTCCGGGGCACCCTGGAGCTCCGTCCAGGGCACCCTGGAGTTCCGTCTAGGGCACCCTGGAACTCCGTCTGGGGCAGCCAACCATCTATGGGGCACCCTGGAGCTCCGTCTGGCGCAGTCAACCATCTCTGGAGCACCCTGGAGATCCGTTTGGGGAACCCAACCATCTCTGGGGCACCCTGGAGCTCCGTCTGGGGCAGCTAATCATATCTGGAACACCCTGGATGTCCGTTTGGGGCAGCTAACCATCTCTGGGGCACCCTGGAGCTCCGTCTGGGGCAGCCAACCATCTCTGGGGCACCCTGGAGCTCCGTCTGGGGCAGCCAACCATCTCTGGGGCACCCTGGAGCTCCGTCTGGGGCAGCTAACCATCTCTGGGGCTCCCTGGATGTTCGTTTGGGGCAGCTAACCATGTCTGGGGCACCCTGGAGCTCCATCTGGGGCACTTATGCTGAAACATACATCTATTACATGATTCCCCTGACGAATTAAGGGGGAACTTCCCTGACTTGAGCCGTGTCTGCCTCTTCGTTTCTTTGTGTTATGACTGAGAGACTTCCCCCACCCGACCTTTCCACCACCCCTCACGAGTAGCGTTAATTGAGACTAGAACCGTCCGCGCCACCTGGGCAGGTGAGCCAGCTGTGGCCACCTAAGCAGGTGAGCCAGCTGTGGCCACCTGGGCAGGTGAGCTAGCTGTGGCCACCTGCCCAGGAATCGCAGCCGGTCATAGTCTGAAGGGGTGCGTGAGCCACCCTCCCTCCCCCCCCTGCTCGCCCGGGCCTAGTCTCCAAGGACGTTCTGTGGTTGTCAGTGCTGAAAATGGGATGTGAGGATAAGGAGTGTATGTGTAACAGGTGTGCAGCAGGTGTGTAGCATGTGTGCCGGTGTGTGTGTGTGTTAAAGTGTACGTTGAAAGTGTAAGTAATGGGGGCGTAGAGTTATATAGGTGTTAAGCATAGGCCTCTAGATCTGAACATAGGCCTTCTAGAGTTAAGCTTGCTAGCACCACATGGCATCACCAAACCTAGGAGACAGGCTGCGGTGTGTGGAAGGTTAGGTTAGGGGGAGGTGTGGGAAACAGGAAGTCTGGTGCATGACCATGGACGGTGTGCACACCTTGGACACTTAATTACCGGGTGATGTCCATTGTGCACGACCGCCCCTCTCACACAGGGTCGGCTGTTATTACACTAACCAAAGGAGGTCTGACAAGGACTTCCCTAGGTCAACCCTCCAACAGATCACAGCATTTATTGGGTATACCCTGGAAACACAAACCGAAACTGTCTCTATTTTCCGCTTGTTACAACTTGTAATAAAGTGGTTACATCTTGGCTTAACGTGTTTATGACGTATTAGAACGTTGTTACAACTTTCTATATTGGTTGTTATAACTGGTTAGGAGGTGTTAAAACTTGTTCGAACGTTGTACCAACGTCGTAGTTTCGGTGTGTGTTTGGCGGGGTTACACATGCACATAGACTTGTCAGTCTGATGGTAAGTAGTATATGGAGGTGTTTTGGGCTTTACCGGGCTTCTATGGGGTGTGATTGACTTGCATGAATGGGATGGGGGGTGGGAGGGTTGTGGGAGGTGGGGGCTCGCACATGAGAATGTGCGGTGTGCCCACCTAGTTGCACTCACCTAGTTGTACTCACCAGCTAGTTGTGCTCACCTAGTTGTACTCACCCAGGGGCAGCAGCAGGTAGATGTTTCCACTAGTTAATGAATATATGTAATTTTAGATCAAACCCATGAGCTTCCTCATACCCTCACCTCACCCCACCCTACCCTGCCCTAGCCTCACCCCACCCTACCCTCCCCTCACCTGACCCCACCCTACCCTCCCTACCCTACGCTCCCTACCCTACCCTCACCCCTCTCCACCCTTCCCTCACCCCTCCCTACCCTACCCTCACCTGACCCCACCCTACCCTCACCTCACCCCACCCTACCCTCCCTACCCTACGCTCCCTACCCTACCCTCACCCCTCTCTACCCTTCCCTCACCCCTCCCTACCCCACCCTCACCTCACCCCACCCTACCCTCACCTCACCCCCCCCCACCTCACCCTACCCTCCCTTCCCTCCCTACCCTACCCTCACCTCACCCCACCCTACCCTCCCTACCCTCCCTACCCAACCCTCACCTCACCCCACCCTACCCTCCCTACCCTACCCTCACCTCACCCCACCCTACCCTCACCCCTCCCTACCCAACCCTCACCTCACCCCACCCAACCCTCACCTCACCCCACCCTACCCTCACCCCACCCCACCTCAGTCCACACTCCTCACCCCATAATGCTATGAGGTTAAGAGGTAGGCTGCTCCTAGGCCTACTTTCTGGTAGGTTGCTCCAAAGGGACTTTCAGGTATGCTATTCATATCTGAATGATTCGATTATAGAAAAAACTTCATTTTTCCACTAAAGACTAGGCCTGGGTGAGTGGAGGGGGGAGGGGGTCTCCCGCACCATTTGAGACTATGACCGGCTGCGATTCCTGGGCAGGTGGCCACAGCTGGTTCACCTGCACAGGTGGCCACAGCTGGTTCACCTGCACAGGTGGGGCAGATGGTTTACCTGCTCAGGTGGCCACAGCTGGTTCACCTGCACAGGTGGGGCAGATGGTTTACCTGCTCAGGTGGCCACAGCTGGTTCACCTGCACAGGTGGGGCGGATGGTTCACCTGCTCAGGTGGCCACAGCTGGTTCTCCTGCTCAGGTGGCCACAGCTGGTTCACCTGCACAGGTGGCCACAGCTGGTTCACCTGCACAGGTGGCCACAGCTGGTTCACCTGCACAGGTGGCCACAGCTGGTTCACCTGCACAGGTGGGGCGGATGGTTCTAGTCTCAATTTACGCTGCCCCGCCCCCCCCCTTCCCGACTACTAGCGCAGGCAATTGCATCAGTATAATTAGAATACTGTCTACTTTTCTGTTATGTAGTCATTCAAACTTGGTCAGGCCAACAACAGTGGGAGAAGCTACTAGGTGGTGGTGACTACCAGCCCGGGTAGTTAACAGGTGGTGGTCACTACCAGCCCGGGTAGTTAACAGGTGGTGGTCACTACCAGCCCGGGTAGTTAACAGGTGGTGGTGGCTACCAGCCCGGGTAGTTACAGTAATAACTCCAACACTCTATGCTATTGCAATCAGGTTGCATCCAATCCCATCAGGACTCTATCAGCTTGTTACTTCAAGTGGCAGCTCAACTCCTGGCTCACCACCTATGCTATTAACCTCACTTGGGGGTCTAAATCTTGCAATACAATAAGGCACTATCAACCCTAGAACATATTTTATATACCCAAGGAAATCCAGTCCACGGCTGTAACACTATAAACATTAATATAAATGTTCCTTGATGAAAAAAATGGCCATTCACCCACCTTCCACTGTGTCTTGCACACCAATGACACTCAAACACTCTATCAACTTTCCATAAGTAATCACTAAGAACCTTTCCTCTACCATCAGAGGCTCTCCAACCCGAACTTCTTCAGGTCCTCTTAGAATTGTCTACCAGAGTCCTCCACAGCTCTTCCGGCTGCTACACTATGAAGTCTTCCTTAACAACAATGATGCTTCACCACTGGTATCACACAGAAGCACGTGAATCTTCCTTCATTGCTCCTCTTCCCACTGTTTGAGATCCACTTCCTCACTATGGGGGTCTGCTCTTCCACAGGGGTTCAATATCCACTCCTACGGCCTTGAAGTTCCATTCATTAACTTCTCCTCTGGCCTCAGAGTACTCCCATCAACTCTTTCTTCAGAACAAACCTGCAACCCATCGATATGCCAATAAAAAATGTTCCTCCACAAACATATAGTTGAAATGAACTACATACAATAAATGTTTGACCTGACATCTCCCTGCTTCCCGAACGCCGTGAGTATGGACTCCCCCATCCAGGACGAGTCCATCCTCCGCCTCCCACTGAGCGGATCCTCCATCGTGAGGCAGCTACTCCGCTAGGAACTAGGACTCCTCAGTCACCCACAAGCGTTTGGAGGGGATGGGTGTTGCTCCGCCCTCCAGGACATTCCTCCATCTTTACTCTCTTATTTAAACTTTCTGCTTCAATAAAATTTGCCTATCCTATCAATAAACACTTGCTACGGCTGCTGGGCACATGACCAACTACAGGCAATCGCTGTTAACTAGTTAAATGGCGCTGGGTCACCAATGTAGTGATACAAACATAAGATAATACACAACCTCAGATTGGCGTGAAGTCACCAGTGGAGTCCCACAGGGCTCTGTACTCGGTCCTATCCTGTTTCTGATATGTGAACGATCTCCCGGAGGGTATAGACTCATTCCTCTCAATGTTTGCTGACGATGCCAAAATTATGAGAAGGATTAAGACAGAGGAGGACTGCTTGAGGCTTCAAGAAGACCTGGACAAACTAAAGGAATGGTCGAACAAATGGTTGTTAGAGTTTAACTCAAGCAAATGTAATGTAATGAAGATAGGTGTAGGGAGCAGGAGGCCAGTTACAAGGAATCATTTGGGAGATGAAATTTTACACGAGTCAGAGAGAGAAAGACCTGGGGTTTGATATCACGCCAGACCTGTCCCCTGAAGCCCATATCAAGATAATAACATCAGCAGCATATGCCAGGTTGGCTAACATAAGAATGCCATTTAGACACTTAATTTGTGCAAGGAATCATTCAGAACTTTGTATACCACCTATGTCAGACCAATCCTGGAGTATGCAGCCCCAGCATGGAGTCCATCTCGAGTCAAGCATAACACCAAACTGGAAAAAGTTCAAAGGTTTGCCACCAGACTAGTACCCGGGCTGAGAGGTATGATCTACGAGGAGAGACTACGGGAATTAACCTTCCCAATTATGTTAAAGACTGTACCTCTCCCAACCAGTGTAAGATAAAAACTAAGTACCACCTAATTAACTCAATGTAACCTACCTCACCCCTAAATGTTAACCCATGTCTACTACAAACAATGTTGTTTGTTGACCAAATTGTATTTTTGTTTTTTTCTGCCATGTTCCCCCCCCCCTTTTTTATTTTTTTCTTATTTTTTCTCAACACAATTTATACTTCAATCTCAATTAGTATTAAGTTTTAGTCTTAGTGTTTTTCCCTACCAGCCCGGGTAGGGGGTTAACAGGTGGTGGTGAGCTCAAG